ACATCTAATTGCACGCTCATATATAAACACTTGCATTCAAGTGAACGCATTGGACACGAAAGGATAACGGGGCATTCCTAGGACGATAGTGAAGGCTAGATTATTAACTAGTAATGATCATAATAATAGTGCGTCCGAATTCGGACATGTGGGCTAGGGATTTTTAGAAACTTTCTTACAGTAATGTAGCCATCTAAGTAACCTAAGACTTGTTAAGGTTCTAGCGTTCGAATAAGGAATGTCTTAAAGTACCAACAATGCCGTTGGGACGCATCTGGGGATCGCGGAGATATGAGGCTGAACGCACGCGCCTCCCGGGTTGCACGATGCTGTCCCGAAAATTGCAGTGCCGAAAAATCCATATGAGACAGCCCAGCCCAATTGTCAAAAATCCTTATTAGTTTTTCTGTCTGCAACAGTTATTCAGGCAGGTCAGAGGATTTGTGAAAAGGTCGTTGTTATTATTAACTCATTAATCGGCATTGGTTACCATCTTGGAGCAAAAAGACTAATTGAATGCGAGACAGCAAAAGTACTTACCCGTGATACTTTAGCAACGGCAACAGTTGAAGTGACATTTCTCTTTGGAAGCACAATCTATAATTGTTTTGTAAGCAGCTAATGAGTCACTTTTAATAGGCGTGTGAAACCACCCCTGGTAATTGGGCTGAGTGCCCCGGTTGAGAACGAATGGCTATCATTAGATCATATTATCATGGGTCGAAACGGGGTTCGGACAAACACAACAAAATTTAGTACTTCTTATACCCTTCGCTAGACATATAGCTGGATATCAGAGTCTTTTGGAAATCGTCCCTTTTGTTCGCACTGCAGAGTCTCAGTTAAGTGGCACAGAAACCTAGTCGGTATACAGGAGGAGCTTTGGAGCCACTGTTCATTAAAAACAGTGGGAACAAGTCAAGCTAAGAGTATAACCTTTTATAATAAACCAGCAAGCAATCAATGCGGAAAGGAGGCTAGACTGCAGCGTGCAAGCGTGCATTTCACTAGCGAGTCCAGTCACGTACAAAAAATCAATCTTGGTGAGGCTCATTACTAAGATTAATGGGAGGTTTGCCGCCTTATTACTGCCGATGACATTACCGATGGTACTTCTGCTAAATAAGTCTACTTTATACGACTGTTGTCAGAAGGAAGAAACTTGAAATATCGATGTGCTTTGAGACTGCCAGCTACCACTTTTTCAACAACGGATACAGTTGGGTGACCATTGTTTCGGCGCCTGTATAAATCCGACAGCTAAATCCTCCAACTGAGACTGCTTAGCGTCCCTCGCTCCGAGCTCGATCCAGCTGTTTTCACAGAGGTATCAGTCAACACGATGTTGGCTGGTCGTCGAGGAACTCCATTTATTCGGAATTCAATAATATAGATTCATTTTTAATGTTGCGCGCGTGTTGAGATGACGCTGAATGACATCCGTTAAATATGAGAAAACCCATCTTAGTTACATGTGTGAACATAAAAGAAATGCCAAACACTAATTTTCAGTCTCCTTTTACTCGTAATAATTATAGACTGCATGTAGATTTTTAACATAGATATGTAGGACAGGTACGAGCCATCACAGAGCTGTACTATGCTGTTAAACCGAGTGTTAAAAACTACAAATACGCCCATTAGCCTACATAATACCCATGTGGTTATTATACACAGCGGCATCCTTTGATGGCTCACATTCCACCCCACATCCGAATCACTGTGGTTCGTTTAGATATGTAATGCTTACTATCTCATACGAGAAGGTCATGCGGTAGTGCGGGTTTGCTTGTTCCTAGCTATGACGTTGGTTGCCTATCATCCTCACAAGCTCTTAGAAACGAAAACTTCATCGAGTTTAGTCTGAGAGGGGCCATGCCCAGTAATCCTTAATGCGTTCGGGTATTTTCATGAGACCCTGGCAAGGTCATGTCGTGGATGAGAACCGAAGACTTAAGAAAAAGGATGGTAACATCGTTAACTTTTGGCCTTTAGTTGTCAACCGGGAACGAATATTTTGTCTCTAGTGCCCTGCGAACTGTGACCACGCCACCGAGTACCGTTGTTCCTTCCAATATTACCCCGCTACCCCCGCTCCACGGTACTGCGATGTTTTAATCGCATAGAAAGAAAATGGCTGGCCGTATCGGCCTCTGGACGGCTTTATGCCTCGTCGCGCCACTTAATTTCACCGCTCATTCAAATACGGCTAGTAGAGATAGACGTTCCCATTATCCACAGATTTAACGTTAAACGGACGTGATATGACAGTGGGCCGATTCGCACGTTGCAATCTATTTGCAAAGCTCAAACGCGTGCGTAGACGAAGAGTTCGCTTGGGCTGGCACTTGCTACCTGACTCATTCATGCTTCGCGAGGTATTATATATGACTCGCAGATACCATATATCTGTATATCAACGCATGACGGTAGGGAGGTAAATCTTTGTCGACGGGTAATTAATATCAGCGCTGATGTTATAGGGCCTGCCGCTGCTGTTAATGATGATGGCACCGCACCTGTCGCTCATTGGTACGAAATGCCACGTCACGTAAGCCTTGGAAAGCTTGGGCTTCTCACAAGAATGTGGAGAAAACAACTAGGGATCGCGGATTATCGCACTATCGTCAAGAATGGAGCATCACTTTTATACCGTCCATGAATTGAGAACCTAAGATTGATAAAGCCTTTACGGTAATGTCACGTACAAGCACATAGACCATCAATGTGAGTGCAACAAATGCCTACCCTTGTCGCTGCAATTTTTCGCTTGGGGCAATTCTGCCTTATCTCTGCATTATGTAACTCAACTTCAGCCAAAATAGGCACGATCTGTTGACGAGCAGTGCTGCCCATTTTATAGCGGACAACTCGGCAAACTTTCTAAATATTCACGTAAACCGATTATTCGAGTGTAATGCGGATCTGCGTGGTTTAGCTTTTCGACTTGGCAGTCCGAAGAAAAAACTAATACGTTTCATAACACGAGAGTACCACATCATTAGTAGAATTCAATTTCTGAGGAATCTGATCATGCAGAGCCATAAGTACTCTGACTGGACAAAACTGAATAAATGTCTAGTTTTTCTTTAATTTTTAATCAATCAAGTAAATCACTAAATTCCATATAATTTTTAACTTCAGTCATACTACTAAAGTTCTATGGGACTCTGCCCGAAAACCGAATGATTTTAAAAGTTCCCTATTATCTCAAAGCTACTATTTCTTGTTCCCTTTAATCTATAGATTTTGTCAATAGCGTAGCAAAATTATAGGCACCGGCGCTGCATTTTATTATTAATTACAGGCACCTGCATCGAGCACAACGGTAGCGTGTCCACATAATATATCCTTCAGCGTTTCAGGAAGATATTTAAGTGCATTTCATTCGACTACCACAGAAATTCGTCACATTCTTCTATAATACTGTCCCGTACTATAATAAAACCAACCCCGATTAATCTAGTTATAGTCCTGAGTGTTTCTTATCCCAGCATAAAGGCATTTCATTGCCTTTTACTCAGGATATTCCATTTGGCTCGTTCTATCCTAGCTTGCTTGTGGAAAAGTTCATATAACATAGCTAAAATATTCTCAGCTTATACGACTTAGCCAATCTGATAAACGACGTTAGATCTAGATCAAACTACCGGCCGGAACATAATTTAAGGTTTTCTTCGTTTTCTAAACGGATCTAAGGCAGCGTTCAAGTTCGAATGAGTTTCTCAGTTGGAGCTGTGTGTAGCTCATTGCTTCTGGCGTTCGGCGTCCAGTTAGAAAGCAGCGGCAGCGAAAGCAGGCACGCTCATCAGCCTGCTGTTATATGCACAACTGCCTGTAGTATTCACGGCGGGCGTAGAGTGTAGCAAGAGATCTAGCGTTAGCGAACTCTAGTTTGCCCCCCTGGTGCTCTGTTCCGACTAAAAAGCAGTCAGCTAACTTTCCTTAGCTCGTTACGAACTCGTCTTGTTTCCTTTTCCCTTTATCGTAAAAAACCTAGCCCGTCTGAAAGCAGCCTGGTTAGGTAGGTAGACATGTAACATTATAGGATGCACTGAGACAGCCTCAACAGAGATCTGTACAGTTAAGCGATAGACTTTTTTGGTCAGCATAGATTTGAACGAATGATGCTCATAGATAAATAGATAGATATAAGACTACCTACAATTGTGTGGCGTAAATGAGGAAAGAGTTACATACATATACTTTCTAAGTTTTCTAATTTTTTTTTCAAAGGAAGGTTATTAGCTATGGCGATCCAGATGAAGAGGACGTAGCAGATGACACTCCAACAAGTGCCTGCCAATAGATCATCTCTAAGTGGATAAACGGTTTTATGAATTTAATAAAAGCAGCAGTTTTAAACAGTTTTCCCACTGTTTCTACCGATGTTTGAATCGATGCATCGATGCTACAAAAAAGAATGTTTGTTTTATGCACTTCACCATTTGCCGTTTATGGGTCCTGTGCCATCGCCTTTTTGTAACTCTAAAGTGGTTCGGGCTTATTCGAGTAGGCATGCATAGAAATAAATCGAGGAAAGTGCTAGACAGAGAAACTGAAAGAAGATGCCTTTAGAAATTAATTTGCCACCAAGCATATTACGTAAGCACTGCACAGCCGAGTTCCGTAAAACGAGGCCCTATTCGGCCACACTGAAGAGCATATTTGAAAGATTGGCCTCAGTGAGCGCTGTGCAATGAAGAAGTGCGGAACTGTAGTAACAGATATAGGTAAAATCGGACCACAAACGCTCAAATCTACTTCAAAAAAAACGATGTTTTTTCATCTTCTTCTCGCGTGTTCTAAAAAATACTACTGTTCACTGCTGTTTATTCTAAAGAAGCAATCTAACCAAGTGTTATTTCTCTGTCACGGTAATTTTTAAAGAAAACATTACCAATACAAAGGTGCTATACCTGAAGCATACATAAAATGTGCACGTTGTTGACAATTGCAAATAATCTCCCCCGCCACGAGTTAACTACGATCGAACTTACATCTGTCCCTTGAAGTGGTCCTGGGTACGCAGTTCAAGACGCCCGTTTCGACACCTATTCTTCATCTTACCCTTATCGCTTCGGGCCGGGAAGTTGAATTCGGTAAAAGTGACTCGGGCCCGTTGACCCTCGGGTGCCTGCAATAACATCCTTGTTCGAATTAGGTTATTGCATTATATTGTGTTTGTAATATGTGAGAGCTTCGCTTCGGTTTGTTTCTTACGCTGCGATGAGGGCCTGGTACCGTATCGTAGCTGAAGACAAAGAGCAGCTTAAGGATCGAAAGTATGACTACGGGAAACACGAAACAGGCCCATTATGACTGCTGTTAATTGCTTGCATGACGGCCAGGATCACGAGCGACGACGCTGCCGAGCTGTGCCGTAAAGATTTATCTAAATGCTCTCCTTGCCTCAGCCAGGCGAACAAACTGGCTAACGTATTAGATAGAGGGCAGTAGTGTGGTTTGCACTATTTCACTAACAGGAAAAAAGGCATTGAGCGTGAGGCAAGTGGCTAGGCCAATGAGGAGGCTGCTGGACCAGTGCGAACGTCTCAAGTCAAATGGGCGGTGACGCGTGAAAATGACACGAAATTGGTCCTTCGAAGAAGTGCCCTGCATAACCACAGAATACTTTCAGGACCTGTGTCAGAAGTACACGAGATAGAGCTCTGTCACAAAAGGGATTCTGTATAAATTAAGCGTACATAGATGTATAATGAAAGCGTTCATGGACAAAGGACGTCCCTTCAACGACAACGACTAATAATATATGTAAAATAGGTACATAATCCAGTAACCTGCCCATGCCGTTGTTTAGAATCGAGGGTTAAATTTGAAAATACACTTGTTTCACTAGTTATCATTGGCTGATTCAAGATTGGTGAAGATCATTACTTTCTACCTACTGTAGAAAAGGTATTAGTCCAGAAAGTATTAGCTCAAGTTGTGGTTATAACATGAAACGATAGGACAGGTACAGAAAAAGCGAAATTTAACTGAAATAAATATTAATGATGACTATTAACCAAAAGAGTAAAAAATTAGCAGCTATGATGTCGAATAAGTCCTCGGGTCCTTTCGAATCCAAGATCAGCACAAAAACAAACTGACGAACCTAACGGTCATGATAACTTTATGGTTATGCAGTATTGTAAAACATAAAAGCATCTGCGGTGCCTAACACCACCACAGCTTTTTGTAATGTATCAGGTAGAGTCGAAAAACTACGGTAAAAATTAGATCGGAAAGTTATTATGGTTAGAAGGTTAGGGTAGCTTTTTAATTGAGGATCAATTTCTAGTTAATAATATTATTCATTGTGTCTGAGCGTGATTGCCGTGCCACAAATTCGGGACCATCGTAAATCTTGGCAATAGGCCACATTAAGGAAAAGCTGATCCCGATACATCGTCCGATAATCAAGCTTAATGAATACATTGCTCCAATTCAACACTTCCGTTATTATACCTTTATACAGTTTTTATGTTCCTTTCAATTTACACAGGTTACGAGTGTATATGACAGGTGGACGCATTTTTCAATTAATGACTTTGATTTTAAATAATTATTTAAAACATATGTGCTATTTTTTTAGAATTATATGCAACGAAGATAGATAGGGCCCAACTAAGCGACGTATAGACGTTCCGTTTCGTCATCAATAGGAAGCATGCTACACATTAAGGACACAAATATGGCAGAGTCCAGATTGCTTTATCAAGCACGGTTAGGAAACACATTCCATGTTGTGTAATTAAGGATGCTCCTTATATTCCTCCGGTTTGTCACTTCAAAATTCAGGATAAAGAGCGCTTACACTACAGACAAGCACATTCAAAATGATTTAATTAGTCCCATATAAAGTCTATCCATGGAATATTTTTTCCCGCCCAATACCCTGCTGCTAGTTTACCTTTCGCGCGCGCTATGGTACTCTTTTTCCCGTTGAATAATTTAGAAGCAAATAAATTTATTGAACATTTACGAAGCAAATCAATTGTGGGAAACGTACTATCCTTTCTCGAGGTCAATTTCCGCGAATTTCGATAACTGGGTTATAATATATGGCCCGGATAAAGCAGAGCTTCAATATAGGTTTGTGTGTTCACTGTTCATGTGTTCATCTGTCTCTCTAGGACCGTTTTGTTCTCTTACGGCCAAGGCCAAGCTGGCCAAAGTTTTGCCACGCTGGCTCAGTTTGAGCCAGCATGGCAAAACTATTATTGCAGGTCGGAAGCAACGACGGTAGATGCCGAAGTTTTCTCCAGTCGTCTCGAAGTGAGCATGGCTAGTGAAACAAACTGCAAGTCCAGCTGGGCCGCTTGTATAGTCTGGCAAACCTTCCGCAGTTCTAGAATGCGCCCACTTTTAGTGCACTATCCTCGAGCTAACGAACACGAATGCCCTTCCACTGCGATCAGAGACATTCCACAGTATACCCTGTTGTCAGTTCATACAGGTTACTTCCTGGCCGTTACAATGACAGCGGCAAAGCGCAACATAATCACTGCCCAACTTCATAGTTCTACTCGCGTTTAGCCTCACACAGATCCAGCTCAGACACCCTACTATATTCTTGCCCCCCTCCGCCTCCTTCATCTTCTCTTTCCCGTTATTTTTGTTTTTATCCGGCGAAAGCTAACGTTCGACGCAACGATGACGTGGACTAAAATGCTGCTACTAAATATCGCACAATACCCGCAATAATGACTTTCGCGATGAGAAGTGACTGGTAATCACTAACGCGTCAGAAATCATTTCAGCCGTAGCTCATTCGTCTCCTATCATTTCATCCCGTAATCGTCCGCCTCGTAATACGAAATGGATGAATTCGATGGATTGATGGCACAACGCGTTCCGCGTTCTTTTAACCGTCACTTATTACTTCGCTTTCTGAGGCACGAAAACCCCTAGTGTTAATAATCATAACTGCGACGTCTGCAGAACCTAGCTGCTGTCGACCATCAAATGTGAAGGAAGCATGAAGAGGTAGAATAACGGCGACCGTGACACCAAAAGCAAACAAACGAGCTAGCCGACCGTGTCCTCTCAACGGCAAGCCGCTAACGGCCAGCGAGTGTTCAAGGACGTCCGTGTACCGATTGCACAAGTGACAGAAGGCAGCCGCTTGTGTCGCATCTCGCCTTAATAGACAGATTGCGTCAATGTACCCGGCGGTCCGCGCTAGGGCCGCAAGCTAGGGCAGAAATACGATTGGGAAAACGTATCAACAGTTGCATGGTAGGTAGAAAAAACGCAGAGAGCGTAGGAGTAGCGAATGGACAGCTCGTACAATCTCCGGATCCCACATGCGCCCTAGCCAGCGGTACGGAGTTAGCCATAGTTGCAGATGTTAGGTGTTACACTAACGCTTACTTGAGCGCGATGTGTACATGCATAATGGCCACCGAAAACTCCTAGTAGTATACTCAAAGCAACGTCTTGCTATATTTAAAACCCTTCATGCCTTCGATATCAGTGAAGTTCAATATTTTGAAAATACTGGCTACTACGACTATACTTGATAGTGCATTAATATTTTGTTACCTTTGCACGACGCTGTTGCCCAGTACATACATCGACAAGGCCCCTTTCTGCTTCTCGTGCGTATTTTTCATCCGTCCAATGTCAGGGTGACTCTTGCTTGCTTGGACCTGTGCTAGGAATTGTCTCGACAGCGCCTAACAGTGTTGTCTTGACGACGACACCAACGACATTAAACAAATAAGTATAAATTTCTATCTGGGATCGAATGGCAAACAGAATCGGTCCACGCCAATTCCAGGTCGTATGTCTGTTAGCAGACACCCTGATACCAACCGGCCTCACGCCGTCGCGCCAACTACGCCTGAAAACCCGTCTTACCGTTATACGATTAGATAATCGTTTGTACTGGAATGGTATGGAGATAATTAATGAGGTGTACATAAAGTATATTGCCCTTGAATGATTTGAGCGTAATTACTGTAGGTAGTAGCCACATATAGACTACTACCAACACCAGGCTGGATTTCAAATCCTGCTGTTGTACATGGGCTAGGTTGTTTTTTATATAAGTACGGAGTGACTAAGGTGTTAAGGTTCGATTTCAGCAATAAAGCGATATATATAGCAATATATTGTATAGGTAAGAACATTTGCAAAAAATAACGAATAGGCATACGTGTGTATCACCTTTAGAACTCTTACACATGTGTTATTTTGTGTAAAAGATGCTATTTTCGTTCAGTTTCCCAGACACAATGTGCAGAATAGCTTACTTAATCAGTTTTTTTTTATGCAAATGTGATCGTTTTTTTTTCTTCTATTAAAATCAATCCCACAACAGACAATAGATACTTATCCTCTAACGTCTGGGGGTAATACGTAGTACCCGACCCATTCAGACAAAGTCCATCCAGCGATCGACAACATGCGAGTCGATTCCTAACCTCGAAATTATCGACAACGCTTAATTGCGGTTTTAAATTCGAACCATCAAAAAACGTTTCACCGTCATTTTTTATAATTTTGTCCTTTTGCCATACAATTTATGCTAGTTAGGCTTAAGTTGTCCGCTGATTTATTCTTAATAACTATACATAGACAGCAACATATCTTAAGTAAATTGTATGCAGCTGGTAAAAGTGTCAGCTCTAGCCGTCATGTTGATTTGTTATAATCCTTATTTGCTTCAACGACAGCTTTAGCTCAGAACTTTGTGAAACGAGAATCTTTCACAGATTCGTTTCAAAGAGTCCCTCTGCGACTGTGCAAACGCTTCGTTGACAGTTCGAGTGAACGCTTTCATGTAAAGACCCGTTGAATTTTCGCTCAATAACCCTTCATTCGAAGTGATCAAACGGCTTCAAGTTAGGGTTTTCCCGTGCTCATACATGTTTATTTCAAAATCGTTCCAAATTCTCAAGCAGCCAAATCTGCACTAATTCCGCTGGCGTGAGTCAGTGCACTATTTTCCCGTAAGATGTATAGTCATGTCTTATTTTAGACACCTCATCTATCGAACAATGTTTTGCACCTGACACAGAGATAACTTTTTTGTAGATAGCGTTGCATTTCGATAGCATAAAATGTCCTCCGGTAAACACCCCACTCAGCATGTGAACGCGGATCGAAAATTTGGTCTTCCCGACGATAGGCTTATCCTTCGGATTATGAAAGACCAGCGATTTGTACGTTGATAATAACAGTGTTCCAGTTAGAAAATCGAAAACAATCCGCCGATGTCTACGACATCGAGCTAGTCCCGAGCTTTCAGTAGCTTCAAGGGTATCTGTTTAATTTTCATGGTGTATGCCAAACGCCTGGCAGCTTTTTGTGACCAAGCCATAATTTCGTAGCGCCAACCACGAGAAATCCTTCGCTAATGAACTCATCGAATAAGAAATGAGCAATAGAAAAATATTTCACGTTTGACCATAGGGCTCGCACTATTTTTTGCTTGTCGTCAGCTTTCTGTTGTATGGTGCTGGAACGCGCGTCTGTTTCTTTTGCAACCGTGTGTTCACTGCGGGCTTGCCGTAACCGATAATAGCGCTTCTTCCGGCGTAAACAGATTATATAACGGTATTGGTTTTGAATGAACGCGTCAATGAAAAAACGTGCCCTTATTGAAAAAAAAAAAAAAAATTGTAAAACGTATTTATTTCGTTTTCGCTTGACTAAATTCTCTTACGCTGCATTATGCATACCTATATCTCGAATTGGCGAATACGAGGGGCCAACTTTACGTTTCCTGTCCCGTTTTTCAATCTCTGTCATTTCCAGTCAGCGATCCCCAGCTTAATTTCAGCCACGCAGATCAGAACCCGAATCGAACGAACGAAAGCAGCTCCACATGCGGCGAGACGCATTGGATTTGGCTGATGCGCACTTCTCTCTGACATGTTGTCACAAACGATTGACTGAAATAATTAAGATCGCTCGAAGATAGGTAGCCACTGCCCCCTTTCCTCATTCTATTTCCAGTGCGACGGCCACGAAGCCCTTATCCTATGTCTGACAAACGTTCTTGCTCTCGCTTGCTCGTTGCTCGAACCAGCGTACACCTTTACTGTTATCAGTTTCTCCTCTTTTGGTGCATACTACAAACGAGCTCGACCCAGACGAGCCGATGCCCGCCACTGAGCCACGCAATGCCAGCTATCATGATCTCAGAACACATTATGCATCGTGCCATCGTGAGTATATCATATACCTGCAGTCCACAAAGGCTAATTTGACTCGCTGGCTTCTAGCTTCAGCAATACAAAGAGGCCTACCTGGCGAAAAGGGTGCCTAGAACGTAAATCTGCGGAGTTAGCGATGCGCAACAACGAAATTATCGAATGGGACGGTATTCGACACTCGCGACAGCGCGTTCTCTACAAGCAAGTCGGACCAGCGAGCAGAGTTTGCAAAATTAGAAAGTGTACGCGTGGTGATGACGCGCTAGAGAGTTGATTACCACGGGTGTGCGTTATTACCAGCGCCACCAGCCCCAGAATGGTCTCAGTAGGATCATTATCATCATCATCGTCGCCATCACCACTTGCAGGATATAGCGGTAATAGTGCGACCCCAGCCCAGAACTCGCGCACCGCTGAGGTGAATTCGAGAAAAGTAGAATTTTAGAGAAACTCGAAAAAGCAGACGCTTCGGGTAGGACTAATTCTTGTGTGCCGAACGAAACCTAGTCGGCTATCCCGCCTCTTCTGTACGCAGGGGTGTACGACAGCTCATGGCTTCTCGAATTGAAGCGATAACGAAAAGGCTTACCGACGCAAATATTATTCGTTCTCTCTCAAAAGAATCGACATTTTGGTATTTTCTTCAAATTAAATAGTTTTATGGTTGAACTCGGATCTAAGCAATACGATTTGTTATGCATACTAAATGCACCAAGTAAAATCCAGGAGCATCCCTCACGACTTAATTCATCTACGTATAATACGTTCGATACGGCACTATTCACGTAGACTCGTGATTCTTGTCTCATGACTGGTCATAATCATATCTTGACTTGAACACAAATTTCGAAACGAAAATCTTTAGCGGACTTGCCGCCGTTCTTCCAGGACCTTTCACACCCATTAACCGAATTTTCCGAGCATTTGCCCATTTTCACGTTATTAATTTTATTCCACGTAGATTCCAGCCCCAGCCCCTACGCCTCTGCAGGACGCATCTAAATTGTTATTTTCCATCAGGAGTTTCCGCGAAATAGGCTATGACAACCGGCACCGATAGAAGCAGCGGAACTGGCTAGACGTAGGTTACCCCAAAAAATGTGGATGCCTAATGAACCTGACAATTTTTTTTGACAGGATACAGAGTGGTCCTACGTCTTCACAGAAGATATCCCTTTGCCGCGCATTCGAGAGGACTTTGGTACAAATGGCGAATTTCGGCTCCAACAGAACGGATTACTTGCACACTACCATCGCGATGTGAGAGCGTATCTTGATGAAGCGTTTCTACGAACACGATGAAGATGTCGTATGTAGAATACTCTGCTCATTTTCCGGAGCTCATCTAGAACTACTTTCAACATTCATTTTACACCGGAAAACCGACATTCATTTTACACTGGAAAACCGACGAAATTTGAAGTTTCGTAATCAATAACCCCCTGTAATCGGCAACGTTTTGACAAGAGTGGACCAACTTCGAACACCTGCTGCAGAAGGAAGCACTCGTCCTTGGTAGATTCTTGGTAGATTTTATTAACTACAAACGAAGTATATCTCCATATACGTTTTTTTTTTGGGACATCCTGTTTATCTCGAATAAACTTAACTGCTTACGTTAGCGATGCTGCTGAATTTGATTTTGTGTTTCAACGCAGAAAAAAAGTGATGAAAATAATGAATTCTGAATGGAAATGTTGATAGCAGGTTGATCGTATAACAGTGGCCGGCCCGCTTGGAAGTTTTGAATCAATGAAGGCTAATCCGATCAGTGTGGACATAGCTCACCGCTGAAGAATTGTTAGGTTAGAAAGTGAAAGCTCCGTCGACCCCTAATATAGAGTTGTTCACGACAAAACGTCAAAAAAAAAAAAGTGTTTTTACAATCGTCCTATTCTCAGCCAACGTTTAAGAGAAGCGTTTACTGCCCAGACACTTTTGCCTGCCTACGCCAATCTAAACCCTGCATGTTCTTAAACTTACGTAATCACACCGATTGTTACCCTGTTTATTCACACAACCTCAGATACACAATGAAAAGATCTTAAAGAAATGTGTTTACATCTGCTTAGTCTTTCATAGCGAGTAGTAGTTAGGAAACCTTGCCACCAACCGAAGAGCATTTTTGCCTTCTATTTTACCAGCTCTAAATATGGCTTGACACACGATAAAATAGGTTTATAAATGCGCACTGAAAAACAATTTCACTTTTACACTCTAATCCCATCGGACGAACTATATCGTGGGATCAAGAGATATAGTCTGAGTGGACCGTACTATACAGTATATTATTACGCAAGAAGTGGCATAAACAAGACAGATACTGATATCTGACATGTATTTATAGCAGTAAAAATAGATATGATCAAGTAAATGAGTTCAGTCCTAAACAGTTACACTAGTCTGTTCTGTCTAGTTTGGGGAACATCAGAATCTAGTAACCTACACGTCACAGAGTAAGTTATGCTAAAGAGGAATAAACTTAATAGTAATAACAATAATAATAACCACAAAGAACTATTAACTTTGTTTTGCTGCTAGTTGTCACGATTTAGCAATGGGTTAGGAAACACTAAAAGGGGCTCTGTTTAAAATTGGTGTGCCAATAGGATCTTACAGGAAGCCTATTCGGCACTATAGCCTTAACAACTGTTACTGCAAATATAATTTGGACGACGTTACCTTGGGCGTCCTATACAGGTATGTGTATATGTAATGCCGTGTCTTACCTGAACCCAGAATATGCATGGTGCATCTACGGCTTTACTTTCGATATTCGTTGGTTGTGTCACGTTTCCGCCGCACTTCACGGGCTCTGGAATGGAATACTCGAGGCGCTTAGAAGGGTTCCTTACCATAGTAACAATATTTCCACGCAACAACGATATCAACTGTAGGCCCTCGAGTGTGCTTCGATCCATCGGTGTACTCTTGGATCGCCTAGCTAATTATACCTCAGCTCCTGTCCGCAATACCAAAAATATAAGTTGTACCCGCCCCCCCCTCTCCCCTTTCCTCCTTCCCCGTCCTGATATTGTAGTACCTGCCACTACGTGCATATGGTTACCTGTGTAGTGTAGTTGTAGCTGAAAAACAAGGTCAAATTCCCGCATCGGAAGGTCGGGCTATTGTTAACGATTCTACGGATTGGATTGAATAGAAGTCGCCAGGCCGGTAGCTGGCCGAAATGAGCTGAGTAATTAAGACATTAGGAGGCTCTTTCACAGCTCTCGTAGGATATAGATGCATGGCACAGGGAAAGGTGTACTATGTCAGAAGGAAAGTACACTGGAAGTCCTGGGTTTGCAATTCTATTTAACAATAACAGCCCATCTGTGTAGCTGCACCGATTACGGGAACCGTCGTCTTTGTTGCGATGAGTGATTCAAAATACGCCTGATCGCAGATGCGAGGAAAAAGTTTGGAGAGCGATGTAGATATATATATATT